CCCGGGCTGGGGCCTGGCTGCGGAAGGAGGACGCGGGTGCCGGGGGCTGCGTGTCCCCCGCAAGCCCGGGCGCCATTCGCAGGCTGTCGGGAGGAGAGGAGCACGACCAGCGCAGCGTGCGTGACGCCGTGTGCGGCGGGCGCCAGCTCTCTCCTGTCTCGTCATGCGCCGCGCTGGGCGCCGGCACTCGCCGATGCTATTCCTGGCTCTGAAGGCTGCCTCTGTCACTGTGCCCACCTGGCAGGCATGTCTCGTGTCTCCATCTGCATAAAATAACTGCAGGAGCCTCAAACGAGATGCTCGCTGAGCACAAAGTGTTGCTAATGGGGAGAAGGGCTGAGAGTCTCTAGATTAGTGTGTCCTGCTCTGATGTTAATGCTTCAAAGAGGGTGTTGAAAGATGGGAGGGAAGAAATGAGATGAGTTACAAGGTCTGGAAGAGAAAAAACACCTTCTAGTGAGAGACGGGGGGCACTGGGTCTGCTCGGCTTGTTAATGGGAGGGTTACAGGGTGTCTTGAGAACGGCCTCCAAGTGCCTAAGCGGGTGATGGCTGGGGGACTCGTGCTGCCTTCATCTGCTAAATTAGGGATCCTGCAGCTGAAAGCTGAAGCCAGGCAAAAATTGCAAGGAGGACAGCGCGGCTTTTCACACTGAGGGCAATTAACTGCCTAGCCAATTTGCCTGCTCTCCCGTCATCCCCCGCGGAGGCTCAAGCCCTGTGGCGGGGGCTGTCGGCTGGGGAGTCCTCGTTGTGCTGCTCCTGCTGACGACAGTTGCAAACGCCCCCTCTTTCCCCTCACAGTGTTCGCGTATGGTGCGACCGGAGCAGGGAAAACCTACACCATGCTGGGCTCCGAGGAGAGCCCGGGCATCATGTACCTCACCATGGCAGAGCTCTACAAGAGGATCGAGGCCAGGAAGGACGAGAAGAGCTGCGAGGTGCTCGTCTCCTACCAGGAGGTACCTGCTGTGTCCCCGCCATGTCCCCTCCTGCCACCGAGTCACTGTCCCTGGGAGCTAGGGCTGACACAGTCCCTGGGAACTAGGGCTGATGCAGCCCCTGGAATGTCACCTGGGGCATTCCACCTGTGTCTGGATGTAAAAAGCTGCTTTCTCTGCTCGCTGCACCTTGCTGCTGGGCAAGCAACCTCTGTGCTGCTCTGCGTTGCTGCAGGTGTACAACGAACAAATCCATGACCTCCTGGAGCCCAAGGGCCCCTTGGCAATCCGGGAAGATCCAGAAAGAGGCGTCGTGGTCCAGGGACTCTCCTTCCACCAGGTGAGTGTGAAAGACGGGTGTGAGATCTGGGCCACGCGGCTCCTAAAGCAGCTCTGGATGCAGCTGCGTGTCCTGGGGCCACGTGTGGGGACACTGTTTGCGCAGCAAATGGGACCCTGAGCTGAAGCCTGGTCGAGCAGCAGGATGTCTGAGCTGCCGCTGGCTGCTGTTGGGTTGCCTCGGTGCCTGCATGCCCTGGCCAATGATCCCTGTCTCTGTGCGTTCCCTCCCAGCCCAAATCGGCAGAGCAGCTCCTGGAGATGTTGGCCAACGGCAACAAGAACCGCACGCAGCACCCCACTGATGCCAACGCCACCTCGTCCCGCTCGCACGCGGTCTTCCAGGTGAGGGTGACACTGGAGGGAGGGATTCCTTGGGCTTTGTGCCGAAAGCGGGGCTAGAAAGCAAGGTTGGGCAGGGCCCGGCCTCCTGAGGGCGGAAATTTCACCTTAGGCTTTTGATTTTGCAAATTTGGCAGTGTAGAGTATTACCTGGCCTAGAGCAAAGGGACTTGGGTTGTCATAGACACTTTCCTGAATGCCTCTGGGCAGCCTCTTTGCTCCCCCTCGGTGCTGAGCCGAGAATTGCACTCCCAGCTGTGTAGCATTGGCCCCAGTCCCTTGGCACTCTCCTGCGGAAACCTCCCAGGGGATTCTGCTTCCAGGCAGGCGGCTCCCCGGGTCAGCAGGGCCCTCCCAGCCGCACGAGGGCACCGGGGCCTCTGACTGCAGTTCCAGCGTGGAGCCGGTGCCCGGCCCGTTGCTGCTCCTGGGTGTCTGGACGCTTCCGAGCTGCCTCCGCAGCTGGGCATGGCGGTGGCCTCGGCACCCCTGCCTGCCCTGGAGCCCTCGGCCATGCTGGGAACGGGCCCTGCCCGCAGCCCGCTGGGGAGGAAGGGGGGCCAGTGCCAAGACCTCAGCCCGTGGGAGGAGGCAGCGTGTCCTTCCCAAGGGAGCTCCCCGGGACGAGCAAGGTGCAAGGGGTGTTTCGTGTCGGTAGGAGGTTTCTGCTGCTCCTGGAAGGTCTCTAGGACTGCGGAGGGCAGAGGTGAGCAGCAGAGGAGCCTCTGCAGCAGCGAGGCATCCTCAGCACCAAGGAGCTTGGGTCACAGCCCCCTTGGGGACATCTCTAGGCCATGGCAGCTGCCCTGGGGTGGCTCGCAGCGCCTCTTGGGGTCCAAACTGGCTCCTTCATTGTTATCTGCCACCCCGTTCTTGGGGCGAGGCCCTGAGCGGGACTCGGAGCTCGAGGCTGCTGCTGCGCGAGCCCATCCCAGGCACCGGCAGGGCTCGGCGAGCATGGGGCCCCGTGGAGACCCTGCTCGCGGGGTGCTGCCTGCTGGAACGGCACAGGGGGTCCTGACTGCTTTCCCAAATGCTTGTAGCTTCACGTGAGGTCACCTCCATGGCTTTGCCACTCGTGTGGTCACGGTTTGGGCTTGTCAACGTATGAGGACTCTCTCTCCCCTCACCTGCCATCCTGGTGCCTGTGATCCCCTTCACTGCTCTTTTGTGAACAGTAGCCCCTCACCCTGTCGGCACCGCAGCCTCCAGCTAGCGACGTCGCCCCCGGTTTGGCCGTGGCCTCATAGATCTCTGTGCTCGCAGATCTACGTGAAGCAGCAGGACCGTGTGCTCGGCCTCACGCAGGACCTGCAAGTGGCCAAGATGAGTTTGATCGACCTGGCAGGCTCGGAGAGAGCGTCGGTCACGAAGGCCAGGGGAGAGCGACTCCGCGAGGGCGCCAATATCAACCGCTCGCTGCTGGCCCTCATCAACGTCATCAACGCCCTGGCCGATGCCAAGGTAGAGCTGCCACTCCAGGCAGGGAGCGTGAGGGGGCCCCTGAGCGCCAGAGCCGGGCACGTCCCCGGTGCGGTGGGGATGGCACTTTGCCTTGGGGACAGCAGTAGGGATGGCTTTGAGAGGTGGCCTGGGACGTGCATAACCGTCCCCTCGCGGCACAGGGCTTGGGGCAGAGCGTCCGCGAGCCCAGAGCCGAGCAGATCCTTGATCTCGGTCAAGAGCAAGAAGAGCCACATCCCGTACCGGAACACCAAGCTCACGCGCCTGCTCAAGGACTCCATTGGCGGCAACTGCCGCACCGTCATGATCGCCGCCGTGAGCCCCTCGGCGCTGGCCTACGAGGACACCTACAACACGCTCAAGTACGCCAGCCGCGCCAAGGACATCAAGCTGGCGGTGAGGAGCGCGGTGCCACGCGGAGCTGCCCTGCCTTTGGGCTGGGCTGGGGGGAAAGGAGCTGCCGTGCTGCATGTCGGGGAGCTCATTGGGTGAGTCTGCCTGAGCTCCAGTTTTCTAGGTCTGGGAGTGAAGCCCCTAACCATGAAGCTACGTGGCCTGAGTGCCCTCTCTTCTGCTAAAACCCCTCAGTCCCCCTCGGCGGCCTGTCTAGGCGTGGGACATCAGGTCCCTGTGTGTAGGCAGTGGGTGCTCTAGCCACCCTGGGGACCCCTGGGCACAGAAGAAGCTGAGGAGCTGCCTTCCTCTGGTGGGGATGGAGTACCGGCTGCCTCTGCGCTTTTTAACCTCTAGCTCATCCCTGTCTCCGCAGCTGAAGAGCAACGTGCTCAGCCTCGACTGCCACATCAGTAAATACGCCGTGATCTGCGAGCAGCTGAAAGCAGAGGTGAGATGTTGCTGAGCAGGGGGGCTCGGAGAGACAGGACCCACCCCTCCGAGTTCCCTGATCCTCCTGCATGACGGGGCTGTGCGCCGGGAGGGCCACGTTAACCCCCTGCGGCGCGGGGAGCTCCGCTCTGCCCCGCGCTCCCCTCCCAGGTGGCAGAGCTGCGGGAGAAGCTCCGCGCCTACGAGGGCAGCGCGCAGGACACAGGAGAGCGGCCGCCCGGCCCCGCGGGGCTGCCCAGGTGAGGCTGTGGGGCTGCAGGGAGGGCTGCCCGTGCCGAGGAGCTCGCGCTGGTCAGGGCGCAGGCGTGAGGCCGAAGCAGAGAAGTCTGTGCTGTTCTGTGCCATCCTCTCAGCTGTGCGCAGAGCTAACGAGGCCGGACAGACTGCGATGTGCAAGCGTCATGGGAAGTTGGGCTGCAAAGACCAATTCTCGTTCTGTCTCATTCATCCCCAAACTTCTTAGACAAATGCGACAGCTTTCCCAGCAGATCTTCTTTGGCTCAGTGACTTCCCCTCTGGAGATTTCTCTTCCCCAGGGTTGTTTCTGCTTTATGTAGGTTGGAGGAAGCTGTCCCAAAGACAGGCTCAGACCCCCAAGTTTCCTTGGAGAGAGACCAAGAAACAGATGCAGAATTGGAAGCTGAACAGCTTGTTCAGCCACGGGAGCTTGAACAGGAGGAAGAGGTGAGAGGAGGAGCATGCAGCAAGGGGCGACTCTCCAAGCTGCTCGGGAGGGAACCTCTGGCTCAGCTCAGCCTGCTCAGAGAGGGCAGGAGCTCATCAGGCCCGTGGGTCCCCAGGGCGCCCGGCTCAGTGTGCGCCAGCCTGTGTGTTGCTAGCAAAACCCATTAACTTCCCTGATAACGGCGCGTTCAGGGCAGCAAGCTCAGCTCGGATACGGGCTAATCCAGGGCTGGATGGCTAAGCACTTCTTCGCTGATCATTGCAGGCTCGAGAGGAGATGCCCCCCAGCAGCCCCGGAGCAGCCCCCCACTTGGATCCGCAGCTGCAGACGCAGGGAGTGAAGCTTCCTCCACAGGGGCTGTCCAGCAGCCGGACGGAGATGTGAGTGTCCTCGCGCCGGCCCCACGTGCCCCTTCATCCCCGTTGGTGCACGCGCCCCTGTGCCCGCTCTGGCTGCACGCAGTCGTCTGAGGGACATTCTGCATGGATTTGGGAACAGGTCTTTGCTTGTAGACAACTGCCTTGCTGTAAAAAGAGCAGATTGGGCTCCTGGGGATTTAATCCCAGGGGATAACCTTTCTCAGGCATGAAGCAGAGAGATAGATAATCCCTGGGGATTCACCTGGGGAAGGTCTTCCTTTTATAGGTGTCCTCATCAGTTGTCGTGCCTGGGAACAAGGCTCGGGAAGCAGATACACAGTGCAATGAGTAGTCAACCAGGTCTCTCTGTCCTGGAAATGCTGCTTCCACTGGCAGACAGAGGCTTCCAGGCACAGCAAAAGCAGGAGCCTTAAGTGCAAATCATTAGTTCCGAAATTACCTCTGCAGAAGCCGCCCTGGCTCCCCCAGGCCCTGCCCTGGCACCATCTACCGAAGTCTCTGCCCAAGCATCCTGGCAGAGGGAGCCCCTTTGGAAAGGCATCCTGGAGGAGGCTGCTCCTGGTGTGTGCCTGGATCTCCGTCTGGCTCTTCCGCCAGCCCTCAGACACTCTGAAGTTAAAAAAACGAGCCTGTTGGTGCCGTTCCCCAACCCGGGAGCCAGCAGGTGCACGCACAGGTCACAGCTCTGGCTCTCTGGGTGGGGATTTGCAGCTCGGGTACCTTACAGCTTCCTAGTTTGCTTCTCTTCCCCTCGTAAAGGTCACTAAAGGGCTCTGTCCCAATGGAGCACGTATCTAGAGGTGACACTGGTGGTCCTGAGCCTCTGCTGCTGGTGACACTGGCCCAGGACCACTGGCTAACTGGTTCCTGGCTCCGAGTGCAGATGGGTTGCTTGATGCCGGATCAGAGGGAGGCCACGTCCCCTCATTGGGCACTGTGTCCCTCTCTGTCCCAGGCTCGTAGCTGCCGTCCTCAGCATCGCCCGGAGGCAGTACTCCCTCCTCAGGGCTGCCAACCTCTTAACTCCTGACATGATCTCTGAATTTGAGGACCTGGAGCGTGAGGTCCAGCAGGAGGCTGGTGCCAGCCTGGAGCAGCTCAGGCAGCTGGAAGGGCCCGCGGGGACCAGCGGGACTGCGGCAGGAAGGACCCAGCAGGACCGTCACGGTGAGGACGGGGCAGGCACTGGGCTCCCCCCACTCCTTGGCGAGTGGAGGGTGGGCTGGGGGGGTGAACTGGAGGGGACAGTGGTGGCCATGGGCACAGGGCTGCGAGCTGAGGTTCCTCCTGCCGTGGTCCCTCGTGGGCTGTGCCTGGAGCGGCTCCCAGCCCTGTGATTTTGTAGAGCTTTGGGAGCTAACGAGCATCCCTGGCAACCCGGGCCACCAGGAGCAGCCATTGGCTCAGCGGCTTCAGCATGTGGTTGTGCAAGTCAGCTTAAACGGAGCAGGATTTGCTCTCGGGGATATTGAGGTTGCAGCCGGGTTGACTCCTCAGTACCGTTTCCCGAGTCAGCCCAGCTCCAGCCTTGCTGCATCCCAAGCTCTTCCTCCACATCCTCAGCATCAGGGCACAAGGCCAATAGTGAAGTCTCCTGCACACCCTCTTTTCCAGGGTCAGACCGGGCTCTTACTTCTGGGCTCATCCGATGCCTTTAGATTAAGGAAGCATTGGGGTTTGTCCTGACTGTCCCTGCAGGTTTTCTGGGAACATGGTGTGATGGGAATGCCAAAGCTCGTAGCCGGGCAGGGGCCTTGGCAGGGAGGTGACAGTTCTGCTTTCCCTTTAGCTGGGGCCGCCGAGTGCCGTGTCCCTGTGGGCAGAGCCACCCCACACCGCTCGCCGTCCCCTCCGCCCGCCAGCCCCATGCCAGGGCCTGGCCCGGCCAAGAAGAGGAAGAGGTCGGCTCCGAGGAGCGCGTCTGGCCCGGGGACTCCTGCCAGCCTCCAGGCGAGGGCTAAACGGCAGCGGAAATCCTGCCCACCGCAGCAGCGGGAGGGCTCTCTCCGAGGACGGCGCCCCGGCCGCACCAGGGCCCTTCGGCCTGGACTTCCCCGGCTGGGAGAACGTGCATTGCCTCCTGGGCCAGCAGGACGGGCCCTTCGCGCCCAGGTCGGTGCTGCCGTCCGCGGGGGCTCCATGGGGCTGCACCAGGGGGTTCCTCCTGGAGAGGCACTTTCTACCGGGCAGGCAGCAGGCTAAGTTTGGGCACAGATTGCCTGCAGAGATAGGGAAAATGTTCAAAAAAATCAGGTGCTCCTGTTGTCTTTCCCTTTGGGCCTCGGAGGACTATCCTCCAGAAAGTTGGGAGAGCCCAACGTGTGTGGCCCAGAGCCCCTTCCCTCGGGGAGCCAGGGAGCAGCTGTTCCAGCGATGGGGCAGCATCACCTTCCCTTGGGGCGCCCCAGGGATGCTCTGGCTTTTGTGGCCCTCTGGAAAGGGACATGGTGACGCCCTTGGGGACATGGGAGCTCCTCGAGGGAATGTTTCCTGCCGAGGAGCACTGAGGGAAGGGCGGTGGAGGGGAGCGGTCCTGGCCCCAGAGAGCAGGGTGCTCCTGCCGCCCCGTGCGGATTCCTCGAGGCCTCCTCCGTGCCTGACCCCTTCCCTGCAAACCAGGCTGCCCGTAGGTCAGGTTCCGTGCCCGCACATGCTACTGCCCGGGCCCGGGGCACGCAGGGAGGTGTCGGGATGTGGCCAGGACATTTTGCAGGGCGCCTCCCAACCCTCCTTTCCTCGACAGGGGCACCTCCATCCCGGTGTTCACCATGAAGGGCTCCTCCATCCCCAAGCCCTGCTCCAGCTCCAGAGCGTCCACCCAGCAGCGCAGGCGAGCGGCGAGGTGAGAGCCGCGGGGCGCCGCGTGCGGGGACAGCCCTCTCAGAGCGCTGGGGTGGGCTGGGGCCGCGGCTCTGCCCCCGGCCTGTCCCCAGCCTCGTGCTTCCCTTGGGCAGCGCCGCGTCCCGCTCGCTCGGAGCGCTGCAGAGCCGCATCGCCCGCCCGCCGCGCGGCAGCCGCGGGGCCACGCAGCCGCCGGCTCCCCCAGGGGAGTCCTGCCCCGCGTGGGGATCTGGCAGGTGGATCCTGCCCTGTGGATTGGGCTGCCGGGGGCGGTAACCCGAACTCGGTGCCTTTGGCGCTGGGGAAGGCGCTGCTGGCTGCAGGGGTGCGGATGGGGCTGTGAACGGGGCACGGGTGCTCGGAGGAGGCTGCAGAGCAGGATGGAGCAGGCGGTGCCTGGATGTCCCCAGGAGGGACTGGGGTGGATTTGCTTCCTCCAGTCTCATCCTCCTCTCCGTTTCCCCTTCAGACCCTCCTGGGAGCAGCCTGGGCCCCAAGGGCAGCAGGAGGAGCACAAGGGAGCTCAGGGCTGCTCCCAGGCCGCAGCTCGTGAAGCTCTTGTGCTGAGCGACCCTCCGGCCGGGGCTCCTTGCCGCCCAGCCCGCGCTGCGCTGCCGGAATGCTGCGTCCCGTCATGTCCTCCATGCTCCTTCCTCGCCGTCTGGGGACCGACCTGCTCCGAGCTTGTTCCCAGCTGCCTCCTCTCCGCTGCCCACCCCTGGGGTGCCCCCAAACCTCCCCAAACGCCTTCCACGTCCGCTCCTCAGTGCCCGGCGCCTGCCACCCCGCGCCCCGTCCCACTCTCCAACAGGGGTTAGCACTGCCCCCTCGCACCCCTGTGGTGCCAACGCGGGCGCGGCCGGGAACAACCTCTCCCTTGGAATAAACCCTGGAGCTGAAAGCAGCAGGGCCAGCGTGGCTGTGGGGCTCCCGCTTGTTCTCGTCACTGTCACCTCCTTGCACGGGGAGCAGCGTGGGTACCGACTCCAGCAGGACCTGCTGCTGCCTTCAGCTCTTGTCTCCCCCCGGCGGCTCCACAGGCACCTTCGATCTCGCTGGGCCGGGTGTCCGACTCCCCATCCCGTGCTCCAGGGGGCTGCGGGAGAGCCCTCCTGCCCCCGCTGCTCCTGTGTCCTTCCTCACCCCCAGCTCCGTCCCCAGCGCTGCGGGTGGGAGCAGGGCCGGGCGCCTCGGCCCCTGTGCTTCTGCCCGGCACCTCTCCACTCGGGGATCCCGTGGGAGCACTGCCCCCGGTCCTGACCTACTTCCCGCACCGGCTCTGCAGCCTCTCGTCTCCTCACGAAACCCTGGTTGCTCTCGTGAGGCCGGGGGAGCCCAGGGCACAGGAGGCAGCTGCGCTTTGATCCCGGCTGTGCAGGAGCTGGGAGAAACTTCCACGCCAGGAGCGTGATGGAGCCGCCCTGGGTGCCCCGGCAGCCGCCAAGGGTCGCAGAGCCCCAGGCTCTGCGTCACTGCGGTGGTGTCACTGCCCTCTGTCCCCAAACCTGGCTGCTTTAGCCCCCTGCATGGGCTGGGCCCCGGCGTCCTGCGGCTGGCAGCGCTCCGGCTCCGCTCCTCAGGGCTGGCAGTGGGGCTGTGCAGCCAAGGTTGTCCCTGCCATTCCGGGGGACACAGCCTGGTGGCCTCGCACGGTGCTCGGCCCCGCTCCCGGCCAGCGGCAGCCATCTAGTGCTGGCCACCTCAAGGTCCCCACCGTCCCCATGGCCGCTCGCAGGGATCCTCCCACCTCCCCCCAGCTGCTGCTTCCCCCTGAGATGCTGTACATGTCCCTTGTGTCCTCAAGGCGCCCTTGACCCTCGCTCTGCTCCCCAGCAGCCTGGAGATGCCAGCTGCCACCCACGCTGTCCCCAAGGTCCCGCTGTCCCCATGATGCTGTAGCTCACAGGGGGATGCAACTCATCGCCCCCTCCCAAATCTTGCCGGGAAGACCCTGCGATCCAGAATCCAGCAGCTCCAGGACTTGGCACCAGGCTGGCAGAAAGGCCCCTGGGTGCTCTACCAGGGGCCCCAGTGTCCCCCTGGCCGTGTCCCCATCCTGTCACCGCGAGCACAAAGCCCCTTTCAGGGGCTGGAAAAGCCTCTGGCCTCTGGCCACATGGAAGGCCAGGAGCAGTGCCAGGGACGTGGTGAGTCCCAGCCCTTCCCGGTGTTCCTGCATGACTGCAAGAGGGGCCGGATGAGCTGGGTTTAATGAAGGCTCCTTGTTAGCCCCCGCTGCAGCTGTCAGGAGCTGGGATCCCCCCAGCTCTCCTGAAATCCCAAGTTCGGGATTTTTGTTTTCCCTGAGACAATCGGGAAGGGGCCCTGGTCAGAACTGGACAGTTGCACCGCGCTGAGAGAGGAACTGGCCTGGGAGGCTTCGGACAGGCACTAATTAGAATCCCTCCTAATTAGTGTGTGTTCCACAGGGGCAAGCGGCTGTCGCAGGGGGACACGTGTGTGCGGGGGGACAGGCAGGAGTGTGCACGGCTGCACGTGCATGTGTGTGCACATGTGTGCAGGGACGTGGATGGGCCTGTGCGCAGGTGTACGCATGGGTGTGCATGGGGTGCAGATGTGCACAGCTGTGCACACGTGTGTGCATGGGGAGTGCACAGCTGTGCACACAGATGTACCTATGTATATGGGGATGCACATGCACAGCTCTGCATACACATACATGCATATATGTGAGGGGAACACAGATATTTACATGCACAGATGTGCATACACTCATGTACACGTGTGTAAGGGACACAGATGTGCACGTGCATGGATGTGCACATGTATGTGCATGGAGGATGCAGACCTGAACGTTGCACAGCTGTGCATACACATACATGCATATATGTAAGGGGAACACGGATATTTAAATGCACAGCTGTGCATACACTCATGTACACATGTGTGTAAGGGACACAGATGTGCACGTGCATGGATGTGCACATGTATGTGCATGGAGGACGCAGACCTGAACGTGCACAGCTGTGCGTGCACGTATTTGCACACACACGGGGATGCAGACGTGCACATGGAGACACATGCATGCACACATGTATGGGGATGCAGACATGCACAGATGTGCACACACACATGTGCACACGTGTGCGGGCATGCAGATGTGCACACACATGTATGGGGATGCAGGCGTGCACATGTACATGGATGTGCACAGGATGCAGATGGGCAGCTCCCCAGGCCCAGTCTCCGCTGCAGGGTGCACGTGGACGCCCAGCGCCCCGGCCCCGCTCTGCCCACAGCGCCGGCCGCTCCATCCTGGGCTCCAGCCTTGGGCTCCATCCCCAGACTCCATCCCCGGGCTCCGTCCCCAGGCTCCGTCTCCAGGCTCTATCCCGGGCTCCACCCACCCCAATTCAAGGGACACACGTGACATGGTGAGCAGGGTCCCGCAGGAGCCCCGTAGGTGCCACCATGAATGGGTGGCTCATGTGTGTCCAGCCCGGGGAGGGGACGGGAGCTGTGTGGGTGGCACGGGGGGACATGGGGAACACACGGCTGGCATGGGGGGACACAGAGGACCCACGCAGGTGACACGGGGAACCTGTGCGGGTGGCGCAGGGGACACACGGGTGCTGGGCTGCCGCGACGAGCGGCGCCGCCTAATGAGGAGCGGCGCCTGACGAGTGACGGCGCCTAACGAGGCACCACGCGTCACCAGTGACAGCGGCAGGCCAGGCGGCGCGTAATGAG